TAAATAAAAGTGAGGGACTATTTAGGACTGTATACAGAAAGGGCAACAAACTGGGACCAAGAGCCACTCATTTCATCAGATTAAAAGGTATCCATTCTATCGTGTCAGTTTTTCAGGACAGCCAGAGACCGAGAACGAGAGGCAGAGACAAAAAGTTAGAGAAGAACAGCAAACGGTATTACTGCGAAAGCACTAGCTGGTAGTCGGCCATTCGCGTGTCCTTGTGCAGTTGAACAAAGTCCTCTTGTAGTTGAAAACAAACAGGCAAACATTTATTTCCACAGTCTTGAAATACAGTAATCCGTTTGAATGTTCCTGTACACTACAAAACACGGTAACAAAACTGTTTGACTCCACAGCTAGTTAAAGCCCCGTTATTCCACACTGCCGATCGCGAACGCTCCCCCCGTGCACAGTTACCATGTATTAAAGGAACAGTACGTAATAATTAAATAAGGAAAGAAAATACAATTTAACTGTAAATATTAAGCTAAACAAAATTATAAAGAAAAACTGAAATTCCCCATTATCTTACACTTATCCTTATCCCAAATGATTCAAATTAATTAATTCAAATATACACTCTGTGCAATCTGAGTAAACTAAGAGATGATTAGACCTTTATGTTATACAAACGGGACACAGGTGTCGCCTCAACTATCACAAAGCTTGAAAGGAGAGAAAAATTGCAGATTGGTTTGTTCCCATGAAATTCCCAATCTGGTTCTCAGGAGACGCCAATTTAAATCGTATACCAGCTTATAATAATGAAAATATTCAAATTGATAGTTATCCAGGGGCCTCTTTTTACCACTTTCTTCGGATATTGGAGAAGACTCCAGCCCACCCACTCACCAAATTAGTGATACTGTCGGTAAGGATCAATAATAGAGATCAGGATGCAGAAAAGAGTTGCATTAAACAAATGAGAATGCTATATAAAAAAGCTTCCCCAATGCTGACGTATTCTTCCCGGTAATTAATGTGGAGCAGGGAAATTATTTTACTGCTATTGTTAAATAATCATCATCATTACTATTGCATTAATAATATAATCTGCAGCATTGATATTGTATTCAGAGGTTTAAACAGTGTGTGTTTTAGAAAGACTAAATGCAGCAGGCTGACAGGAAGTTGCAGAGAGTTTGCAGAAGTGAAAGCAAAGTCTAGGTTATTCAAAAGATTCTGTTATACTTTTATATTTTTATATTAAGCTTTAGTAGAGGTTCTTGATTAAAACATTTATTTAGTAAAAGTCATATCCATAGTTTCAGTTCGATTATTACAT